TTACATACAACAGGAATTTCCACACTCTCCCCATAATCATTCCGGGGAGTATAAAATTGCACCCACCAAGTTACATGGTGGAGAGTGTGCAAATTTCTGCTGAAGTTTAAAGGGGCGGCTTTGCCACACTAATAAGAGATTTTGGCGTAATATCGTCATCTCTGACAATGTGCCAGTCACGAGAATAGAGCTCACAACCTCAAGTATTTGAATCCATATATATCTAAAATTTATTATGTAGTTACCAAATAGCATTACAATTTCTGATTCTGAAAACATGGAATTTTACAACACATTTTCTGATTCTGAAAGTGTTATTAAATATAAATGGAGAAAATACATGATTGTTTTTATTAGAAACTATTTTCTAAATAAATCTGTACAGATAAACAAAATCCTAGCGTTGGCTGAATACAGAGGTTGTATATAGATCAACCGTAGCCAAGGATACTGATCAATAATTTTCAACGAGTGGGCTGAATGAATACATTACAGATACTCTGCAGATAAATAATCATTATTCTGTATGAATGAGTTTTATGTATAATGGTTTATATATAAGGCTATCTACTAACATTTATACAAGAGGAATTGCTAGTCATTTCGGTAAATACAAAACTGCCACCAGGACTAGGTCTTAAAATTACTATCAGATTTACAACTCTATAACATTCATTAGCCAAAAACAAAATACAAAGCAAATGTTACAGTATATGCTATGTTCGCTAACTACAAAAGGTGTTTAAACTTAGATGGAACAGTATTATTTCCCTTTTAAAAATAGATAGGACACACAGATTTATATTTCCTGACCAATGAACAATATTTCAAGCTTCACTATTAAGTATGGTTTATTATAATAATAATAAAAATAACATTTAATTTTACCGGTTACTTTTCTACAACATTCAAATAATTATTTCATTGCTATCTTATTAAGAAGATAAATATTAATTAATAATAATTAATAATTGCAAAAATATTCGACATTTCTAAGTCTATATTATTTTTGAATGCTGAATAGATCAAGAAAATTGCCATATTTTAGTGCAAAATCGTCTCGCAAACATTCCTCTGATCTGATAAGAAAGAGTGTAATTCGGTCAAATTTACCAAAACAAATACCTGAAATTTCATTTTTAAATTCAAATGGTAATAATTGGTTACTAACCATTATCTTTTGGTTTTGCCATTTATTCCGTCGAGTAATGTTAATGTTTCGAACGTTATTTTTAATTTTTAAACAATATTGCTTGCATAATATCAAAATGCTAATGTATTGATTCCGTCTCTGCAATACCTTTAATCAAAACCAAATTACTGACTTCCCGTTTAATGATCGTATCCGTTTCAAGTTTGTGACCATTTGTCCTAACAACATATGTTTTAATAAAACTGAAGTTATTTTTTTCGCTGCTATAAAATCGTCAAAATTCATCATCTTTTTCACATATCCACGAGAAATACCTTTCGAATTTTGTAAGTTTATTGTAATGTAATATCACAGCATACATTTTACTCCTTAACTGGCATAGACATAAATTCATTTTTCGTTTTTGCAATAACTTTCTTATTCGAATCGTCTTGAAATCCACTACATTGTGGATAATATGATACACCAAATATATTTTTATTGCAAATATCCTGATAGTCATCAACACATTTTATATTATGCACTAGCGAGTCTATATCAGAAAATAGCAACTTTCAATGTAGCCACTGTTTTCTGATAAAATTACAGTGAAAATCGTACATCAGCCTTTTTGATATATCAAGTATATCTGCACCAACCTAGATCGGTTTATTTAACTTTAAATTTGTATTTCGCTTTTATATTTGCAGCACGATTTTTATTGAATATTTTCATACAAACAAAACCATCATAATTAATTTATTTATTTCCTCCCTTTTTCTCATTAGTAATATCTAACGAAAATATTTTCGTATATTTTTCATCGTCTTACCAAACACCAAGTTGTTCATTAACTTGAAAATGTTTTTCTCAATTTCGGCTTTTCCCACAGCATGACTTTTCGTAATTAGATCAATATAATCTGCCATCCGCCTCTACTGATTAAATGTTTGCACGAAATGGATTTTTCCCAGAATTGCTCCAGCATCTTCTACTTGTTTTTAATTTTTGTAAGGCATAACATAATTTATTTAATATAACAAATTTGGAACTATCTTATTAACAATCGAATCTTATGCTGTTGTCGTTGCTCTTTGTTCAGGCGATAATAAACGATAATCAATCATCATTTAATCTGCACAAAACGGGTAGCCGTTATGTAGATCATATAACGAATTAGGATAATTTAGATCAACTTCAACAAAGTATGAAATATCAGAAAAATCATTATTCATTTTTCTTGGTAAATCTTGTTTGTGTCTTTAAGAAATTGATCTGGTTTTATCTAATGAAATCCACCGCAGGGCTTTGGCTCTGACATTGCATACCAGTACAAATTCACAAAATCTAGATAAATATTTTTTAATATATATTTTTTTATAAGCTACAGCATATTTTTGTTATAACGTTAATTCCGATGTGAATACTCTTTTCAATAAAATTAGGCATATCGTCATCTGTTAAGATATCCAGTTTTATTTTTCTTGATTTTAGGAGAGTTTTACACGACAGCCTGGGAGCAAAATAATACCGAACGATCAAAATCATAAGTTTTATGACTAACTTGACGATAACTCTCAAAAACATCTGCTAGTGATAATGCAAATCTTTTTAAATATAGATCATGAAAATCACCAAATATTTTACAACTAAATTGATTTCAAACTCTTGTGCATATTTGTACTCGTCATCTGTGATATTTTCAGTTTTGAGTTGGGAGTAAAATTTATCTTTATCAGCAAGAGACGTGTCATTAAATCTGCTCCAATCATCGAGATACTCGTTAGAAAAGATACCTTTTTGTTAGGTCGATATCGTTTTCACCAATGTAACAGTTTAGATTCACACGATTGCTACATCCTTTTAGATGTTCATCTAATGATGCTTCCATAAATTACAGACTGTCAATGAAACATAATTTACCAAGTGTTATTGACATATAATTTTCAAAATTAGTTTTAAATACATTTTATTGTATTATTTAAGCTTAGTTTAGCTTTAATACTTTCATCACTGAGGCTTCTACTATGATATGACTGTCATTGCCACGAAAGTTATGAAACCCTACAGCAATAAAATCTGGAGCCTGAAATTTTATATTACAACTGTCCACAATATTGTCCGGTCAAATGACAATGATCTCGTGCTTTATTATACACTCCATTGGAGTCTACCAGCAGCCTTTCACAAATATCAAAATTAGCTGCCTTATCAAAATCAGGTTGTTGTTTAGACGTTATTTTCATTGGAGCTGTTTTAAATAGCATGTTAAATTTTTTATTAACTTTGTCTATAAAATTTTTAATAGCCATATAGCTAGATTTTCACCCTATATAACTTTATTGGAGTTAAAAATATATCGTTAGCGCAACAAACTACCTTATAAGCTTCTCCTCAAGGAATAAGTCGTTGTATTTTCTAGTACTTGATTTATTCGGATTATTTGCTGCTCCAGCCACAGGAACGAGTACACACTCGATATCAGCGCAAATAAAAAAGGAATATTTAGTATGATCACAATTTTTAAATTTTAATATTTTATCTTTCTTTAGGCATGGTTATTCTTTGAACGGTAACACAGTACTTGAAATGCTACTGCCAGAAAACTTTTATAGACACATATAACATAATTATTGTTTATTTTTGCTATTCTCTCTGCTAACTAGGCCGATAAAGTTGTTTATCCAACAATAATGTCCTTCATAAAATAATAAATTTCTTGTATCTTGCGTAGCAGTTTCTGAGCTATATCTAATGTAATCATTTTCTTTCTCATCTAGTCTGAAAATGTTTGCTGAGATACCGTTTTCTTTCTCAAACTTTCGTAAATGATTCTCTACTGGCAAAGTTAGTCCTAAAAAAGTTGGCTCGGCTTTGTATGGCAACTACTTTTCAGTTCTGCCTGGGTGATCGCACGGAGAATATTTGCAGATAAAATAGACCATTTAAAGCAATCGTTATCCATGTTTCAGATATTTATACAGTATTTTTGGTGTATAACTTCCTGAGGGAGATCAACGTACAAACTACTGCGAAGTACGTAATAGTTTGCTGTGTGAAGTAACACTTCTTTTATCATTTCAAATTTCCATCTCGATCATGAGCAGTAAATTCTTTTTAATTGTTTGATTATTTTTTATGTGTTTCATCGATGACCTTTGCAATGTTTGCTCCAGTTAATATTTGTCTCTTGATTTAGCTGTTAGATATGTTCCGAAATGTCTCTGTTAAAACTCTTTCTTTCAAAAATGACATCAAGTACATCCTCAGCTGCATGAAACGTTGATAAAATCATATGATATTGGGCTATAAGTTTGATATTTTTATGAGCCGCAGGTTCTTTTGATATACCAGGTTGTGAAAGATTAAATAAATTTGTCGAATTAAAATTTGCTAAAATAATTTGTAACTATTATCATAACGGGAAGGAATTCTATTTTTATTACCAACTTTAAATTTTTCTCATGTACATATTTTCGTTTGCTAATATTGGATTGGCAATCACGTTGTTTGGCGACATTTTTAGTGATTTTTGTTTCGTGTTTTTATACTCTATTGTATTCTAGTCGGTGTTCGTTCTGTACTTGCTATTGATTCTTATCAATGCATCCATCATCGATAACCCTGTTTTATCTGAACTGGGTATTACTTAAGACATCACCAACGTCAAAAAGATATCTCTTGTTATCATTAAATTGAGCTAGATTTGAGATATCAACTAAATATATCACCCATATATCATCAACGGCATTTGAAACAACTTTACGTCGTGGATAAGATTATTTTTAGGTTTGTGTAGCTCCATGGCAAGACAATTATGTAATTCTTTTTTACCGAAAACTAATTTATATTTTGAAAGTCTTTGGTATGAATCGACCGGGGATAGATCCCACAACTTCCGGCATCCGCGGCGGACGCTCTAACCACTAAGCCACCGGAGCGGGTCTCTGACAATATGCAACAACTTAATTTCTTCAAGACACAAATCTCTATCTCTATCACAATCGCATGTCATTTTTTTAATCATTTACTAGAATAATATCTGGGCAGCAAGCTCTGGACAACATTGTTGTTCACAGTGGTACTGTTGGCGATAATTGGGTTAAAAATATACTTTTACACAGATTGCACAAATACTTTTCAGCATTATTCTATTATTATTTTGTTTCTTCTGTTTTATCATCTTTATTTCTGGTTTAGTTTTTTGGTCTCGTTTTGCACTTATGGCAATATGTTCACATTGTATATCGGTGAGTTTAGATAAAATTTAAACTTTACAAAAGTTCAATGTCATCTCATCATTAGCGTGAGACCTTTTTTGTCAAATTTTCTTATCCTGCATCACCTGATGGAATTCCTAATGCGTCAAACTAATTGTTATTAAAAACAGCTACCGAATGTGTGTCAGATCCGTCTTCGAAATCTTGTATGATTATAACGCACCAACCGAGCTTCTCTGGAATCGTCTGACGTTCATCTTTAAATCAAATTCCACTAGAATTCATTACTTTTTTAATTGATCAAGTATGTCAAAGTTACTTAACGTGGGCGACTTTGTCGGCTGAGATTTCCTTGTTCCTGATAACATTAGTCCTCGTATTATTCCTAGAAGATTTGGCAATCGACTACCCGCTAATCAGTCTAGCAAAGGAGCTAGTGGAATAAATCCACGTTTACTCCTCATTCGTGTCTTTTTTCGTTACTGTCTTTCCATTTGCTGTTTTTCGTCTATGCAACATATTTATCTTTCGACACATTTGTTTTCTTTATTCCATGACGATCAACTGCCTTTTTCGTTGTGGCAGATACTAAATAAGGCGCTGTTACTAATCCTAATGTAACAAGCATTAGCAAATGTTTTATTATTAACGTTGTGGCCATTACAGAGAGCGCAGGAGCAAAGGAACCACATTGTTTTGACATAGCTGTTATTTGTACAGCACTTAAATTTAAAACAAGATGTGTTTTGCGATCGTAAATTATTTATTTACTTTTTGGTTAACATTAAGTTTGTTAAAGTACTCGAAGCGTCTCCATTGTTGGGCTTTATTTTTAGTGATGTTTGTCTTTTCTTTGCAACATCAGATGCTAATGTTTTAATTTGACCTCAATCAAATATACTGTTTTACAATATATTTTATCATTTTATATTAGTTACAGATTAAATGAAAACTTTTTGACCTTCTACTGTCATTTTACCTCTGACATAATCAATGGTAATACTTCTGTCGCTGAACACTAACGCGTACACATACAACTGCGCCACCAAAACTGCTCCTAACGTCCAAATAATTTCAATATCAGCAGTTGAAATTACATCTCTTTCATTTTGTTTACTAACATCAAAATAACATGTCTCATTAAGTGTGATAAATTCCTCACTGATGTCTGAGATCTCGAATATCTTGGTATTTCTAGAATGCGTCGAGCAGGTACATGTAAGATCGAGTAATATTTTATGAGCGCGATCTGCAAAATTACACTCTATTGCTCGCTCCTGATATTGCTTTGAATTTATTCTAGCATATATTCGTCTAACATCATCTTTATCAAGTATTGCATTATTTTGTGGTTGATTACCATGCCTTGCTTGGTGGTGGTGAATGGCAACAAATTAATGCCGTGGCTGTTGTACAGTCGACGTTGTTATGACTCGCCATGTGTAGTCTGTAGTATTTGGAACTGCATTTTGATATATTTCATGTTGCTGAAAATAAATATTCTTTATGCGGATTTTAAAAATATCACCTAATTCGAGCGATGTTGAAACTGTCGGCGTTTTTATTTTATCAGTTATTTTTGTCCCGCAGCAGTTGAAGCAGCAGATACAGCTCTAGTTGCAAAAGCTTTTGATGCGTAAAGTGAAATTAGCGCAACTTTATGAGCTATTCCGTGAACATGTTTTATAACTCTAGCAAATATATTTCAAAAAATTCCTCCCGATATTAATCTTCTATAAACTATTTTCTCTGCTTCATTATATATGAGGTTGAATAATTTTATTATCAAACCTTTCGCATTATAATTTACTAAAAATATTTTAGCTTTTCTTAGAAAATATGTTTAATATGCAAGTTAGCACAAGTGCAGGTAATAATTAACAACTTCATTACTAAGATCTAGTTGTCGTCCAGACTGATCTATCAATTGCATATTTACTTTCGTTATTTGATATTCAACATTTATCGGATAACAAATAATATAACGTGGATTAATTTGCATAAGAGATCCTGGTGGAACTTCTGTTGAAAAACTATATATGGTGTGTCCTTTACTACCTTTTTTTAGTAAGATCCAGCTGCAATAGAGAATTTATTAATATTATGTTTTCTTCAGTTATATTTCCTGAACCTTCATTGATCCATGGAAGACGACTATAAGTATTATATTCAAATCTTATCAGTGATGCGATACTAGATTTATTGCAAATATTGATTTTCATATTTTGGCGAACGCATAAACTATTAATATTTGGTGCCAGATTAAAATTTTCTAGATACTAGATACTAGATTTATTGCTAATATTAATTATCAGATTTTGGCGCGTAATGCATTGTAATTTCATGTCAGCCCAAAATTATCAGGTATACCTGTATTTCTTGTTATAAGTAATTGTATTATTTCAATTAAATAGTAAGTGTATAATATCCTTGTGGAATTTCAAGTGTTTTCCAATTATCGCGTTCCCATCGCTCCTTATCTGTATTATAAATATCAAATCCATATTTATCGTTGATATCAGTTTTACATTAGTAATAGCATGCCAACAAACACATGAAATTAGTCCAATTTCATATTGTTTTTCACGATCTAGATCTCTTGGTGGAAAATATACTTTACTAACAATGTTCCGCCATCTTTGCCAGATTGGTTAGAGTCTATTAATAATGTTGCTTAGATTTATTATTATATTTTCATAAAATTAAATCAAGTTTCGTATTCGTCAAATTTTAATAACATTTTCGATCTTAGATTATTAAATATGTCAATAATTTCAATGTGAATTTCAGCACCAACATTTACGGCTTCTTTTGATGATATCAAAAACATTAATTTTCCTATCATTTCAGCAACAAATTCAAATATTCTAACACCAGTTCATTCTTTTCTCAGTTCTATATAATTGCTTTTTATCGTAACCTTTAAATAATTTGTTAAAATCTAATTCATTTTTTTCAACATATTTTTTTATTTCTAAATTTAGATACAGTATTTTTAAAAATATTAGCAATGACAGCATCTCTAGATCTTTTATAAATATTTCTTCATTATAATCTATAGATGCTGTATAAAGTTCTTTGTAGCTTCTTTATCTTGTTCTCTAATATCAGCTACTTTTTATAATATCATCGTGTTTATCTTTTAATGGCGTTATTTCTTCTTTTATTTTGCTTATATATTTATCTCGATAATTTTTCTGTACTTCCTTCGGTTTCTATATATTTTGGAGATTCATTTGTACTTTCTGGTCTTTCATCCAATGATATTTCTTCACTACTTAAGTTAGAAATGTTATAATTAATATATTGGTTATTTCATATCTTAATAAAAGATTTAATATAAACATCAGCAATAGTTCCATGTCGATATAATTTAATGCTCTCGTACTAATGTCGATTTTCTAAACCTATATTGCTACATTTCTTTTCTTTATCTTCTTTTATGTTTATTAATTGTTTTCTTGTTCTAATTTCGATTTTCTAAACCTATATTGCTACGTTTCTTCTCTGTATCTTCTTTTATGTTTATTAATTGTTTTCTTTGGCATTAAAATCAGTATTTTTAACATCATTTATTCTCCATTTTTAAATTCTTTATATTGTCAAACAAAATCTTCACATTGATCATCTCTTATTTTGCTATCTGTATTTGCTAAATCATATTTCATTTTTATTTTTTCTTCTATATTCTCTCTCTCTATCTCTTCTAAATTCTTCTTCTCTTCTTCTTCTTCTTCTTCTTCTTCTTCTTCTTCTTCTTCTTCTTCTTCTTCTTCTTCTTCTTCTTCTTCTTCTTCTTCTTCTTCCTCTTCTTCTAATCCTCTTTCAATTGTTCTAGCTACTGCTAATAATCTTTGCTGAAGTTCAGTGGATCATTTATCAGCCGACATATTTTAGCTTGTCTTGTAACATGATTAACTATATTTGCTCTAACTGCCTCGGATAATCTTCTTTTTTTTCTTCAGATTTTTCAATAATTAACCCTAGTAAACATTTTTCTTGTCTTCCTTTAAATTCTTTTTCAGATAGTTGTTTAGTTACGGGTTGATATCCAAGCATAGATTCAGTAACTGGTTTGAGAGCGGCTCCTGTTGTTTCTGTTGCAACTATCCGTCCACGTCGTGCTTGTTGGATCATCTGCCTAAGTTCAGCTTTAGATTTGATAGTTGTGTTTTAGAGTTTATATATGTTTTCTGAAATTTCTTTTCTTTCCATTGATTATATACTATTTTCTATAACACAATGCTCTAGGTATTTATTAATACAGCATTGAAACATTTTACTCGTATCAATTTTGTTAGTTAATCAAATAAGAAAAGTCATGTTTATTTGCCGTCGCTTTATGATATAATTCAATAAATTTATCTTTTGTTACATCACCACATTGTTCGTTCGCGATATTTCTAACGACAACATTGTCCAGTCATGGAAACATTATAAAACTACCAGTATTTCGCCCACCAAATCTATCAACATTATACAAATCTTGAGCTAAATAAATCGAATTACATTTTGTATTATGTGATAACAAAAAATATTATCTTCTTATATTAATTTCCTCGTTGTTTAGCGGATCATCAACAAAACCAATTATCTTGTGTTTGGACGAATCAAGTTGATTAATATGAATAAGTTCTTCTAGTTGTTTGATATTAAAAAACTCTTCACCAGCCTCAAGGTGATCACAAAGGTTCTTATTATCATTGTTAAGAAGGTCGTAC